TTTTATGTAATCCATGATTGAATTTTTTGAAAATTTGTGATTTTTTTTTTTTAATCCATGATCGAATTTTTTTTTGTAATCCATGATAGAATTTATTGAAAATTTGTGATTTTTTTTTTAATCCATGATCGATTTTTTTGAAAATTTGTTATTATTTTTTTTTAATCCATATTATTCAAAGAGAAAATGAGAGAGATGATGATTCTGAGGCCACGCTATCCCACCCATATTATTCACATATCGAGTCCCAACAGCAACAGTGTAGGGATGAGCACGAAATACTGTAAATTAAATGCTGAATGGCGGTTCATGCAGGGAAAGAACATATCAATATTCGCATATTCATTCAAAAACATGAAAATTCTTAATGGAGTACCCTCATTTTTTATTGAATTCCTAAAAAACAATATTTATAATGAATTTTAATAATTTTTTCGAATTTTTTTTAAGCTTTATTCTGATCGATTCACCCGATTCTCGATCCGGATCGCCGATTTGAAGATCCGGATGGGTTTTTTGGAAGCCCGATCCGGGTCACCGATCCGTTTTTTAAACCATTGCTCTAAACAATATTTACTGGTCCTGGGGGGACCACGTTTAACGCGTATTGAATAGGAGCAAAAATATCGGGGTTTTTTTATGAAAATTAATGACGAATAATTAGGGGTGGCAACGGGACCGACCAGGACCCGATTTCACCGGACCTGGCCTGAAAATGGAGTGTCGGATCCTGGACCTATCGGACCCAACTCAAAAATTAGAATTTCTATTTAGTTAATTATATTTAAATATATTTCATATATTGAGATTAAAAAAATATCATAGGACTTAGACCTGAACCCGATCGGATCCAAACAATAGTATGATCCAAATAGTGTACGGGTCCAAATATTTGGACCCGGACTTAGCCCGTCAGGTCCAATTTTTAAGCCCATATCCCAATTGGCAACACAATCAGCATCACCAAACAGAGATCTCTCTCTCTCTCTACAATTGCACAATCACCACCTTTAAAACCAGAGATTGATCTCTCTCTCTTCTTTCTCACTCTATTTTGACGTACATATTTGTCGCATGTCATGCACCATAAGTTGTACGTAACTAGTACTACGACTGCTACCTCGTCATGTTTTGGAGTACTTGTAATGGATTTATATGTGTACGAATACTGTTGTGAAGATAAATAACAAGTTTTTTTGTGTGGGGTTCAAGAATCAATATTATTGTTTCAAATTTTCAATTTTTGTTTTTTGCGTTAATAAATCATATATACAATTGAGAAAATAAATCTCTTTGTCAAGAGGGGAGCCACAATTAAAAAGAAACTAAAATAAATCTCAATCCGGTTTGGAGTCGGATCAGATCATCATGCATCATCTTATTTAAAGTGATAAGCGGATTGTCCACCTCCAATCCCAATTTAGATCGGCAAGCTGGATCGTTTTCGAATCATCTGGATTGGTGATCCAAAAAAATTTAAAACTAAAATAAAATTAAAATTAAAATAGAGATCTATGGGGTGAGGATTTAGGTGTAAAACATTAGATAACCTTAAAAAAAGAAATAAAAAAAAATGAAAAGGATGTTTTGGGGGAGAATTAGGCCGGTACATACATCATTCCGGAACCGATTCAGCCCGTCTGATTCTGCATCCAAGTCAACGAATTCTATAGGAATACCAAAGCAATTGCCGGGTTTTAAAACACTCAAAAGTGACCATTGGTATTTAGGACTCATTTCCATAGGAATACCAATGCATTCCTAAAATTATAGAACTACTCTCTAACCAGTGTGCTAATTAAAATCAACCAGATTGGGGTTTTTAGTCTTTCTATTCCTAATTTTCAAGACAGAAAACTTAGTTTTCATGCCTTGGGTCATATGATTTTTTTTTTCTAGCAATGGGAAGGGGACCATGCCAAAACCATACAAATTTTATATAGGGAATCCAACCAGACATTTGAACTTGAATTTTAGGCCAAAATATAGTGATGTTTGGTGTTTTACTGCATCCCCAAACATGGAAATACTCATAAATGTGGGCAGGAACATGATGTTCACTGGTACATTTAATACCTAGACCTGTGGCAGCAAGCAATCCATTTTGTATATCTACTATATTTTTTGTTTTTCCTATTTAACTTTTTTTTTTGTATGTAAATTAATCAACAACAATTTGCTTAACCCATCCAAGTGATGATGGGAGATAATAGTGTGATGATAGGTGTTTTTTGCATATGAGAATCACTGCTCAACATGTTCATGGGGCCTCACATGGTGTTAAGTACATGCAATGGATGATATGCATGAACGGTGGAGACACGGGATCTGCGTAGGGGTGGTAAACGAGTCCGGTCGACCTGTGTTGAAGTCTGAACCCAGTGGGTCAGGTCTAGGTCCATATGCTTGAGCCCAAACTAGTTCTAGTCGAGTATGGTTCCATCCAGCCATGTATGGTCAGATTTGGTTCCGATCCAATTTGACCTGACATACACCGGGGTCTAATTTAGACCTTTTCAAGTACAACCCAACCTATTTACAATGCTAAATCCTCAGTTGTCAATGGATCCAATTTGACCCAACTTACACCTGGTTTAGATCTTTTCAGATTGATCTAAACATAACCGGACCTATTTATAGCCCCAGATCTTCAGTTGTCTAAAGTCAAGGTTTTAAAAAATGGATCGATGGCCAAGATCGTCCATCAAAAAAATCGAATCAATTTGGCACATCAGCAATCTAGCCAAGTGAACCGGTTGATTGAAAATAAAATAAAAATAAAAAATAAAAAATAAAAAAGAAAGAATAAAAAAATAAAAAAAAAATGGAAAATAAAAGGTGGGACTCGTTCTTGCGGCTTCTCTAACAAACTAGAAAGTTCTCCATTTCCCTATCCACATCACTTGTTTTTTTCTTTTTTCCTTTTTTTTTTTAAAGAAAACCCTCTCAATCATGTGACTATGTGAGGGACGCTTTTGATATTGGGTGAAATTTGCAAACAGATCACCCATAGCTGTAGAGGTAAGGTGTGCCTTCGAATTTTATCATGGTATATAATTTTGATGTAAAGTGTTCTTAGGATTATCTCAAAATCTATTTTTATATTTAATTATAAAATTTTAAATTTCAAAAATAGTTAAAATCAAGTAGATCTATAAACAGATGAAAATGGATGGTGTAGATAATATGTAGTAAAATGTACTATTTATGAGACTTAAAATCTGTTTATTTTTAATGGTCATATTTCTCGATGTCGAAATGATCGATCAAAAAAATTTTCAACATTAAAACTACTTATGGATTTTTGAGGTGCATCCATAGCTCTACATTATGAGGTTGAAACCTTATATAAACTTTCTCTTTTGATATTTTGCCCCGAACGCAGAGTCCTGCTAGAAAAATATCTGTTCGAGTTTCGAAATAACGTTGCGAATGCTGGTGTTCGACCACACGTGTAAAATGGCGTGATGTACGGTGGGCGTGCCATCTTAATAAACGCGAATAATCGTTACTTGTTTTGTGTCATAGATTTTCAGTGATGTACGTTTACTTCAATAATGAATAAACAAAAAGTACTGCCTTTTTGCTCTTTTTTTCCATTTTTTTCTTGGCCTTTTATAGACTTAATTTTCCTTTGAAGGCCAGCTTCTACCTTTTGTTCCACATCCACATCTTTGACTAAAGCATGAAAACATAATTTGAA